CTACATTAGGATAAATTTAAGAGCTTGCACAGCCGTCTTTAAGAAACCCTAGATTACCATTCGGCAGTTTCTTCCTTCTCAGCTGTCAATCTGAAAGCAGTTGTCCATCCTTGTTAGATCAAGTAAGGAGTTATGCTTTCAACAGGGGGGTTTATAGATCTCCACCTGCATTTGTGTGTTTATGAGCATTTTTGTTCAAGTGTGTTCAAGCATGCATCTGTTAGATGTCCGTGTGTGTTGGGTGACAAGGATGGATTTTTTTTTTTTTGTTCGGTTTCCTCATTAATCTCCCGTGAGAGACTCGGAGTAATGATCAGGTTCCAACATTTCCTGCCAGGGAGACAAGCGTCTCCGGACTGCATACCGCCTCTGAGGCAAGGCTCTGGCCAGCGCTGAATACAGACTGTCAGGCCCTCAGATTGTTTCCAGGGGCCTAGGAGGAGATAGAGGCAGGGTCACCCACCGGGGGAGTAAATGGAGCTGCTCGCTCGCCCCCACACTTTTCAGGCTGGAGCTGATTGGCAGAGGGCTGACGCTGGCAGTCCTGTGGCCCCTTGTTCCCACAGGAAGACAGATTAGATCCTGACAATGTTCAGGAACCTGGTTATCCATCCAGCACTGCTGTGGGGCTAAGTGCTCATACCCACCATCCAAACACACACATTTCTCACTACAGATAAACACCTTTGTTCAGAGAGGTGCTGAATGGAGATAGGAATGTATGAACCAAACTGTTGCATTTTCCTCCATCGCCAGTTTTGTACATTTGGGGTCTCAACGTGATAACACAGCCAGGGCGTGAATGTCTGCAGAGATACCTGCCACCCCTGCTTTTTTTTTCCCTGAACTGCCTGACACTGCATCTGGGAGCCCGGCTAAAGTCAGAGTTTGAACTGCTGATGTGAAGGACAGCCAGGTTCTCATTGGCAGGAGGGTAACACGCAGGCATTAACTTGCAAAATGGGGATATCAACACAGGGAGTCACTTTTTCCATGAGGAGTAGACATTTGGCCCAAGGCATCCTGGAGAGTCTGGCTCAGACAGACAGCTCTGGTTCTGTGTGTGTGTGTAAAAGACAGAGTTTATGCAGCTGGGTCACATTTTCATCTTTCCTCACAGATCCTCCAGAAAGACGACCCCAAAGCCAAACAGCGCTACATTGGGGGCAAGAACGTCCTGACCAAGGGAACGTCTGAGTGGGTCTCCTTTGATGTTACAGAGACAGTGAGGGAGTGGCTGATGTACCGACGTGAGTGGGACACCTCAAATTTTCCTTGCATCGCACCTTATTACATATCCTGCCAAAGAGCACTGGTTCATTTGAAATGAAGGATAATGGCCTTAGGGGAAAATGTCAGCTCCTTACATCCCTCTGCTGCTCTTGTTTCACCCTCAGAGACCAATCTTGGCCTGGAGATCAGTGTGCATTGTCCCTGCCACACTTTCAGGCCTAATGGTGACATTATCGAGAATACCAATGAAGTGCTGGAAGTCAAGTTCAAAGGTGAGACGGCATTTGATACCTCAATGATGTGACAGAAATTGATTTGTGTCAGCAAGCTTGTTATGAGCCTGCCTTACTTGGCTCAAATATCAGTTTAGCAAGGTGTCATGAAGGTGTGGAAACCGATACAATCAACCAGACACATCTAATAAACTTAGCTAAAGAATATTATAATTGGGGGGAAATCAAAAATGATCCCTAAAGCAAAAATGGCATTTAAATAAGAAACAATATTTGTTACAGTTGTGTAGATAGTGATAGATGAATCGAGATTCTTAGCTGTCAAGTTCAGTGTGATGTTCTTACTGTCGGTTCCTCAGTTTATGGTGTGCAACTACATAATGAGAATTTAAAAGAACAGTTTTTTGCTCTCATTACATTTCGTAATATTCAGAGTCAATAACAGTCTTAAAGTATTCTAGTCTGATTCGTCCCATTTTAAGAACTCCTGTCAGTCTCAATCTTGCCTGTTGTGCAGGTTTCCAGCCTTTTTTGTGTCGTCCTGTCAGTCCAGCCAGATTGTGGTCACTAAGTCTGTATTTGTCTGTGCTTTTGATCTTTCACAGAGAAAAGATGTTCTGCCAGCTTGTATTTATGATCGAGTGCCAGATAACATTTACGTCTGTTTGATTTGTGTTTGATTTGTCTAATGTTCTAGATAGGCATCTCATGTTTGTTGAAAAATTTGGTTTATTCTGATTAGCGCTATTGAGGCAGTGCTGGTTTTGGGATGATTTGCATTAGTGGGTCTTAGTATAAACTGTTATACTAGGAGTTTGTTTTTGGTTCCAGTTTTAGTTTTTTAGCGCCTGTTCCAGATGTTATTTCAAAACTATTTTTGGATTATTAGTTGTTATTTATATTAATAATGGATATTGGCATGCATTGGTTGGAGTTCTGTAAATAAGTCCTACTACTGTTAAAAAACCTTTTTATACAAGGCCTCTAAAGAACGCCCCATCTAATGTTGCCATGTTGGCAGAGTGGACTACTTTACTTCTACAAATGACAGAGGATTTGATGAAAGTCCAAATATTTTAAATTCAGCTCTTAATTTGCATGTCTGGTTCCAACATTTTTTTTTCTGAAGTTGCATAAAAGGCTCAACGGGCCCTTTGTTTCATTGCATTGCATCGCATTCTGCCAAATGAAAGATACCTGAGGCGTTGATTTTGTCTCTTAGTCAGTCATTGTGTTCTAGCACAATGTTTCTCAGGATGAATGATAATCGGTTATGTGGCAATAACACTCACAATACTCTCCTTATTATGAGACAGATTTAAAAAAAAAAAAAAAAAGAAGTTGCTTTTAATCCAGCCATCAACATGTTCCTCCAGCAGCAATACCTATTTAGGTCTTTTTGGTAAGATAATGGGTTTCCTTTCTAAGAGGAAGAGAGAGACACAGAGCATGGGAATACAATTGATCTGGTATCTCACTTAGCACTGGGGCCCCCGGGCCCTCAGCCCTGGGAACACTCTCGACTGGCTTGGCCACAAAGAATGTGCTGCCACGGCGCTCAGACGCTTGGCCCCAAATTAAAGAGAAGCGTACATATCCACCAGCAACATCTCTCCTGAGATATCCACTGCTTTAACTATCAGGGGTAGATTGGATGAGCAGACACAGGCCCAGGGGGCAGAACGGAGTAAAGAAGGAAGTTAGGGACCAATGTTGAGTAAGTAGAAGGATGAAAAGTGAGCCAAAAATGAGTGCTGTCTGGATATTACAGTATCCTTCTGCAGAAGTCAGTTTATTTCACTGATTAGAGTGAGGTTGTGGTTCCACTAAAGTCCGCTCTTGACACACAAACACCTTCTCAACAAATCCTTTTGTGTTTTTGTACAGCTTTTCTTGGTATGCTCCAGACTAACTGACTCACTCCTGCAGGTATGGATGACGATCTGAACCGCGTGAAAAAGCAAAAGGAGCAGCCCCACCTCATCCTCATGATGCTCCCTTCCCACAGGCTGGATGCCCAATCCTCCTCCCGCAGGCGCAAGCGGGCACTTGACACCAATTACTGCTTCAAGTAAGGCACATTTATTTAATCCTGGAAAAATACACTGCTTGGACTATTGTTCATTGTCTTCAACTTTGTAAAATAATTACTCTGGCTGCACCTGCACTGTCAGTTTAGGTGGTTTGAACACTGAGCTAGTTAAAATATTGCAAATAAAAAATGCCCACTATTACTGTCTGGCAGGCAAGGGGGTATATTGTCAAGTAGTACACCAGCCAAGGGAACATGAAATGGAAATCAGCTGTCACATATCAAACAGATGGCAGGAAGAAGAGCACACGGGCACAGAATGCGTAGAACGAGCTTGTTAATCACCTAGACGAGCATGACAGAGGTATTAGCTGATACAAGTTGGGATCTGTCCCAGTACTAACAAATGCTACCTCCTCTGGATTTCCTCTGTCAGGCTGACAGGCAGCTCCAAAGACACCTGGGCTGACTCCAAGAAGGAAAATAAGGGCACACCTAAGAGTGGAATTTCTTAACCTCTCTCTCATTTCTGGCTGTGAGGCCATAGGGAGGAAAATGTATACAACTCTTTTAAATTGTATGTTATCTGCAAAATGAAGTGTGTAATCCTCTCTGTCCTCTCTTGTCTGCAGCAATTATGAGGAGAACTGCTGTGTGCGACCACTATATATTAATTTCCGGCAGGATTTGGGCTGGAGGTGGATCCATCAGCCTGAAGGGTACTACGCCAACTTCTGCTCTGGTCCCTGTCCTTACCTACGCAGTGCAGACACCACCCACAGCTCGGTGAGACAAAGTGCCCAGCACATTACAGTCGGGATTCTGTTTAGGGAAATGTGGTTGCTGAACCCCATCTCCCTCTCTGCTCTTTCTTCCACAGCTGCTGAGCCTGTACAACACGTTGAACCCCGAAGCATCCGCATCACCCTGCTGTGTTCCTCAGGACTTGGAGCCCCTCACCATCCTCTACTACGTGGGTCGCTCCCCTAAAGTCGAGCAGCTCTCCAACATGGTGGTCAAGTCCTGCAAGTGCAGCTAGACTCCAGGGCTTCAGGGCCCCAACGAGAGACATGGGATGTGACGGCTCCCACCACTACTCAGGAGCTGGTATGAGGGGTTAGAGAAGGAGGGGGGGCATGGTACAGTTTGTCCTCCACGAGTGCCTCCAACCCCTGCTTCAGCCTTCCCCGAGCTCTCTCTCTCTCTCTCTCTCTCTCAAAAGATGCAGTCCACCACTTTGTTCACAATCATCGGCAGCATTTACCTAAAAAACTTGTCAAACACCACTTTACTAACGCTCTCAAACCCATCAGACCTCTAAAGCCATCGCCTTGTTTCTCATGTCTTTTTTTTTTTCTTTTTTCATATTCCAGTATTTTGAGAGCCTGTACCTCAGTGTTACATAACGTTGGTATTCAAAGCCCATTTTCAATGAAAGAGGACCAGAACAATAATTGTCTTGCAATGACCACTGCATTCTCAAGGACGTAAAATAATTACAGTAAAAGAAAAAGAGAAAATGACTGAGAATGCAGACTGAACTCAGCATGATAGGAACACGTCAAAGAGGGTGAAACAATAATTGTTGTTTGTTGAGAGCAAACATCCCCACGGCCATGACACACAGGACACCTTCGAATGTCCGAGCTGGAAACTGACGCTGTGCACGCCACAGCTCCCTACACTGTTTGTTTAGGATTAAATGCTGTTGAATAAAAATTACCTTAGGAAAAAAGAAAACATGCTGGAAACCAACCTTTATTTTAAAAGTAGTATTTCCATGGTTATGTTTACCTCTGTAATACAACAGGATGGTGATTCCAGGGATTGTTTTTTTGTTTTAAAGTGAAGCCTTTCTGTTGTATGAGACGATGTATGTCACTAAGTGAACACTTAACTAGATCACGAACTGTAAATGTTTTTCTTATTACTCTTGGAAACACCTTTTTTTAATTAAAAAATGGACAGTTGGATAGAATTGTTATATTCTTTTTTTCCCTGAGTTTTTCCGTTTGTATCAAGTATTTTAGAGCACTTTATTTTTAAGGGTAATAGGGTACATTTAGTTGACCAAAGTGAAGAATTCAAAGTCCAGTGATTGACAACTTCCAGTGTACAGCATGTGTGGTGAAAAAATACATTTACTGACATGATCAGCATGTTTTAATGTTTTTTTTTAGACATTCATTTCAATGTCGTTTGATACAGACTGCCAAGATGATTCCAATTCCAAAGTATTACATTTCCATGCATGTGTGTTGTAAACAATCAGCAACAAAACAGATTAAATGACTGACTGTAAACAACTTTGTATTACCACAGGAGAATATTCACATTGATTTGGATTCTACTGATTATTGTAATACAGCATGCACTGGCTTTAACAGTAGTAAAGTTTAACATCAATCACTACAAAAAAATACCATCAAGTGTATTAAAACCAGTTCTATTGTACTGCATTGAAAACTACAATCTGTGCAAAATCACTCTGATGAGAATCATCAGTTGATATGACAAAGACATGCAAGAAATTCAAGTATTTTTGACAAAGACGTCATAAACATATGCTCAATCTATTGATATATAACAGATATGTTTTATTCTATTAACTCGCCCTGAGTGAACTCACTATATGGTCCCAAGCAACAGAATATCCACAAGGATATTGGTCTGCTGGTGCAGCATTAACCTTCATTGTAGGCAAGGCTGTGCATAACCATAATTCCTCTTTATGTTATGCTTTGAGCTACAGAAACGGCCAAAAAAGCCTTTTGGGTAGTCAATGTCCAGTAAATAAATACTGATGCAATAACAATAATTTACTTAATATTAATATTAAATTTGGTCCATCAAAGGAAAACAACATCAACATCTCAACAGTTTACAGGAATAATCACAAGCCATTTTTTTTTCTTCATATAAAACTTAAACATCCCAGCAACAGTGTTACATCCTCCTCGTAAAAAGGGAACAAGACAGCAACCAATCGTATTTGTATTTTCTAACAAACAAAACATTTATTTTTTAAGCCAATAATGAAAGGATGCTGTACTTTAACACATCCTTAGGCGATGGCCATAGAGTGTGACTTGGCAGCAATATGGCTTCCAACGATGACTGGGAGTTGGAGTGTCTAAAGCCAGCTGCAAGACATGAAAGGAACTTCTCTGCATGCAATGATGAGAAGCTGCTCAGCCAACCTCTACAATACAAAACCACAGTCTCACCTGTTCGTATAACTTTTCAGAAAGAAAAAAACAGCATGAATGGCTAGCGGTGCACATGCCATTAATGCATGAGTAAAGAATAAAATGTTGAATCCCGTATATAAAATGCCACTGGGGCTTGAAGAACCATCTGCTGAATGTTATCTGTCAGTGAAATTTTTCTGTGGCATCAGTAGCATGGAGAGAATGAAGGCAGACAACTGTTGGTATATAGACTGAGTGTAGCCGAGGGGGGTTAGGGGAGGTGGGGGGAGAGAGCTGAAAAGGCCAACTGATGTTGAGCTGCGCAACAAAATCCCAACCTGCGTCAAAGCTGGGCATTCCTGGCCTCTCAGCCCATCCTCTCACATGTCTGTGGCTGTATCATAGAGAAGTTAATAGGGCCCTGTTCGATGTCTGGCATGCTTTCATCTGTTGCTGTTGTCCTTTCCCAGAATACACCTCTGTGAGGATGTAGTTACATGCAGAGACACCTGTCAGGCCAGCAGAGGGGCAGGACGTGCCTCTGGTCGCTTTCATGTCATCTGTGACCGGGCTCCTGGCCCTGGAACAGCTTGTGGTACATGGAAAGACCTGGGAAGCAACAGATGAAAGTAAAATTAATACAAAAGAGGTGGAAGGGTTTTCCCCACAGTGTGCACAAACAGACATGTTTAGGTCAAACTTGAAAGAGTTTTATTCCAAAAGAGCACACTAAAACCCTCCTGGTGAATGTTTTGTTGATCTTTTTAATCATTCATAGTCTCGGTGGTTACCAGCAGACCTGCTCAGTCATCTCTGTGCTTAGCCTTTTGTCTGGCCGCCCCCTCACTCCTCATCCTATCGGCTGGCACGCGGCCAGGCATCCAGTAGAAAAGGCATTCCAAGTCCAGTTAGAGCCGTGTTTGTGCTCCCAAACAGTATTCCCTTTCATTCCCTCTCTGCACACTCTGTTTATTTTGGTGCTCTTTTACACCGTGGGGCCTGACTGAGCTGAAGAAGGAAAACATCTCCCCGACTTCCAATCCGATGACATGACCGCTGGAAGCAGCTTCCTCTAGCTCAGCAAAAGAAAAAAGATAAAGGCACAATATTCTCTCCAACATGTCCTACGCCAAAGGACACTTAAAACAAAAAATTATGGAAGACACGATGTCAAAAGTTTAGTGAATGGTAAATTAACAGTAGTCAGTAATCTGCCTTAATTATTTTAAAATCTTTGTGCACATGCACAACTCAAAGGAATCTAAAACCATTAAGTGCTGTTATTAGATATATTTGACCTTATCTACAAGCAACATAACTAATAAAATAAATTATTTAAGGGAAGTAATTCACCAGGAAAAAGGGTGTCAGTGACTGCTTTGAATCAAACATCCAATAACTTACATAAGACATCTGAAAATGGGGATGACAGCCAATAACTACCTTCCTTTCCCAACAAGGCACCACACAGTCTTATTTTGATAGAGAGAGGCCTAAGCTATCCGTCCTGACATGATCAGACTCCCATTAAAATGGCACAAGTGCAGCATTCATTTCCTCCTCAACCTGAAAGCAATAAATCTCCTCAGTCACCAGCTGTGGAGCCCTGAGAACTTCAAGAAAGCTTCAAGGGAATCATTGTAAAACACATGTGGTCGATATAATCTTGGTTTGTAAAGCTTTGGTAGGTCCTCATCAAAACCCCTCCCCTCATCTCATGTCAAAAATGAACACAGAAGAAGTAGCGAAGGAAAGGGGGAAATGGGGTGAGTGAGCAGGAAAAGTTTTCAGAGGATAAAGGGAGAGTTGTACGAGCAAAGAGAGGAAGAGATTAAGAGAGTGCACAAGAGAGAGATAAAGGGAGCGTGTGATTAATGATGGTTGACAGCTGATCATAGAGAATTCTCTCCATTTGGACCCTGCTCTAACTCCCTGTCAGAGTCAATCAGGGGAACTCAGTCATCTCGCTACAAAGGTACACTGGGCAGGCAGAAAGACCTGACGCACTCCTAAGCTCCACAAAGGCTGTGCCCCTTCTAATAACACCCTACTCCCTCCGAAACACCACACTGAGTCCGTTCAACTCCCAGTCCCATTCATCCTTAAACCGGCCTTGCGAACTGGTTTTGGTACTGGGACTTCTTTTTTCTTTGCTTCAGAAATGTGTTTTAAGTAGAGAGAAGCATCTCCCCCACCCTTTGCGCCCTGAACGACGGAAAAAATGCATTCATGAAATTCAGAAGCTTCTCCCAACGGATCCAGTTACAGTAATTGATGAGTTTATAAGATGTTTGTTAACCTAAGCCAGCCTTCATAGTTTTGGGGGGAAGAAAAGAAATGTTCTGGTCACAGACGCACACACACTCATTTTGGAGGGGAGAGGGACTGGGTGGTGCACAGCTACTGTGTTTTTCCGACAAGCTGATCTCTGGGTCGGCTTGACTGTGACATTCACGTGATGCGATGACTTGTATGATTTGCTAATGCTAATGTATAGTAGGTCTGTGGAAAAAAGCCCTTGATCAGGCAAACATATGTGCATCAGCGCAAACTGCTTAATATCACTGTTACTGCAATAAGCTCAACACTTCACTCAGGATGGAAAGAGTTGTGGAAACAGGGCAGGATGACAGGGGGCACACGTGAGTGCAAGCACCCACACTTGCAGTGCACTGCCCGTAATAAACTTAGACTGAGACTGAGCAACATTTTGCATTCTCTGGGGTACAACTGGACAGCCCTTTTGGCATATGGACAGTAATTATGACTGCGTCGGAATGACCAACAGATGGGAATGCCCGAACCGTTCCCTTCACTGGATCTCATTACAGAAGAAAGATTTCATCACTGTTATGCCTCTTTATCCTTCTGCAGTAATGTGACCTCTGGTCTTGGAGACATACAGACTATATGATCAAACAGCAAATTACCACACTGAAATGTATGTTTATGTCCTGATTCAGATCTGGCTGCTTCAGCTCTATTTGGCATTAACTCTAAAAAGGGTCATGGCACAAGTCATTGTAATATAAAAACCAATAAAACCTCACTTGTACTATTCTAATGAGGGTGTAATTACATTTTGTAAACTATTTATTATTATGACAATGTAGTTATATTTTACAGCGTGCAAAATACATGTACACATCCTGCACACCACTGAGCAAGCACGAGCAGGCTAAAAATATCCAGTGGTGTTTATCAGTCCTCCATGGGGAATGTCCACTATGCCTGGCTGTAATCACTGACCCTGGCATAGAGGGGGCATAATGTAGCCCCTGCCTACAGCACCAACAGGCCAATTTACAACACGGTAATACGCGTGTGTGGAACTGTACCATCAGACCCACCTGTTTTACCACAGATAGCTTCATAGACTGTATGCTGGCCACTGGTTGAACTCTCTGCGGACGTTTGCCTGTTAATCAGACACAAAGATAAGCATCAAGTTACACAGTGACAGACTGTATCTGAAAAGCAAAGCTCATCTCCGCAGTCTGCGACCAAGCTGTTAGGACACCTCGCTATGGATTTATCCCAGTGTAGTGTTCTGAATATGTAAATAAATATACAATTGACTACTTGTGATTGTTTGAGTGTATGTGTGTGCATGGTGTCTCCTGACGGGAGAAAAGCGGAGTCAAATTCAAACAGTATGTGTGTATGTGCAGTCAGTGGGGGCTAGTGGGGGTTAAGTGTTTACTGAGTGCCTCTCATGAGCTATTGTGACAAGAAGGGGGCAAATTCCAACTCATTGTCCTGGGTGATGTGATTTTCACATTGGCAAGATTATTGTGGCGATTACTGACTATGTAGATCTGTGGGTATCGGCTACAGACAGAAAAGGGGTATGTATAGTGTTTCTTAGAGGATGAATAGTGAGTACAGTGGTATATACTTTGTGTATTTATCTGACAGGGCTTCATACAGACGTCTGGAGATCACAGACAAGGTATCACATGGCCTTTTTCTTATAATCAAACAGCAAATACAGGGTTTTCACATAGTAAACCATTATAAGAACTGGTGAAGCGTAGAGCAGGAGCAGACACGTCTGTAACCTTATACATTAAATCTGTTAAGCATTTTTTAGGGGGAACAATAAATAAAGCTTAGCTGGCATTAACCTCTCGCCCCATAACAGCAGCTTGCCAAAGGAGCATTAACAAGGTAATGAGGGTACACACTGCCTCCTTGTAAGGGGCTGCACAGTTGTTCTTTCATACCATTACACAACCACAAATAGAACTGGCCCACTTTAAGCGTGGCATACCTCGACAGGAAGCAACTCCTTTCATATTGAAAGTGGGGGAAAAAAAACTTGACCTCTGGGTTCTTCACATCACTTTCTTTGTCAACAGTCACTCACTCTGTCACTTCGAGAGTCAGGCCTTTGCCAGAAACACTGTAGGTGAGAACAAAATTCTGAACTTGCAGTATGTCCAGATTGAAAACTTCACACCACTCACAGAGAGCTGAGGAACTTACGTAAACATAGCTGATGTGCAGTTTCACTTTCTGGTGCATTCAGGTAGCTAGTATGCCTTAATGTTATTCAGACTGACCAAAGGGGATAAAGTTTAACCATAAACACACTTTTGGCAGCTTCTGTGTGTATACAGTATCCTGTGAAAATAACTACTGTTGTGGCTGATTAATAGGGAGTGAAAGCAGCAGCGAGGCTGACATTAATGGTGCTGCTGTAATTGTCACCCTATTAGTAATGCCACACGACAGCCTGGGTTTCCGTAGTTACAGCTGCGTCTAGCCAAACCCTGCAAACAAAATACCAAACAGGCTCATTTATTTGTGTTACAAATTGGTCCTTTCAAAGCCTTCACTGAAGTCATACCACTTTGAGTCCTTGCAGCCCCTTGAGTTGGCAGCTGTGGTATGTTGATAGACCAGAGAGCCCTGCCCTGCTGAGTAGATACCAACATGAAATGCATTTGCTTTAAGCAAGTGTACCACATGTTAGTTGAGCTTAAAAATCAAAGGCACTGTCACTCGGAATCCCTGCCGAGGTCTATTCAACTTCTTTTAATCTTCAATTAAAACAGAATGCTGGCCAGTCACTCAGTCCAATCACTGGACACTAGTCAGCAGTTTCAGACAATGCTGACTGGATAGCACTCTTGTAGCAGTTCGTGTAGCAGGACTCCAAACAGAGGAAATCATTTGGCTTCGTCAACAGAAATCTTCACTTCATTTCCTTTCCTAAACAAGACCCAAAACCAAATGTCATTCTGATAAACAGCTTCAACTAAGAACTGTCAATGATCATCAGTGGTGAATTACTCATGGGAGAACCAGTCAAGGCCAGCGATGGTAAATTTGTATCAAACAACAGTTTTACAGTTCAACAGCTGGCTAGAAGAAGGTGTTTGGAGGTCTGGATAACCTTGAAGTGTTTAAATACACCAAGCACAGTGATTCTGTTATAAGTTGGAGAGGCATAGGCCTACACTGGGATGCATTTCAGATGTGCCTCAATAACAGAGGTATTGAGTTGCCCCTAAAATGAGCGCTGGAAATAAAGGGAAGCAACTTATTATCCCACCAGTCTCTGCAAACAATCATCTCCTTTCTCCTGGACAGTTTACTTCTCTCTGTCATTCTTTCTTTTCCCCTCTCTTTATTCTTTCTTTTCATTGTTTCCATCGGTGCATTTTTGGACCTGAAGCTTCCGTTTTTCCCACACTCTCCCCTGTCACACTGGTCGACCACAAAAATGCAGGACAGCGGAGAGTGTGAGGGGGCTCTGGAATTCCACATGCAGAAGGTAAACACAGTCACTGCCAGGAAGACACACACACACACACACACACACACAGGAGCAAACACAGCACCTACTCGGCTGCCCTAACCCATTCTACAACCCATATGCTGCACCTCTGCCCTCTTAACTCTTCACTTACCAGGTACAGTTTGTCCAGTCAAGAAAGATGACGGAAAGTAACACGTCAGCAGAGCGAGGGCTTTGCTCAGTGCAACGTGCTACACTCAAACCTAACTGTTTACAGTGTCAGCAGGCCTGCAAAGTTGCAATGAATTAAGTCACACAGAGAAATGGACAGACAGAGAGCTGACAACTCACAGACAGTATGGGCTTCACTCATATGCAAAACAGTCTGTCCTGCTATCCAGTTGTGCCCTTCCCTCTTACGCATGACAAGGCTGTGAGGAGCTCTTCACCACTAAAACAGCGTGCTCAAAACAAACAATCAGCCCTGATGACAAAGGTTAGCTGTTGTTGTGTAATTTGGCCAGATGTTGCAGTAATAAAGTCATAAAGTAATTGAGGGAAATAGCTGGCAGTTCAGCCCACTTTCACTCCTTTCCTTTTATTTTCCCTTCTGTGCTCTTCAGCTTATCTCCAAACCAAACAGGATTTAAACGGCACTCGGAGCCCGGGCCCTTCCACTGAACCACGTTCTGTTTACGGTTCAGGCAGAAATCAGGCCTATGATGAGATGAGGTTGTTTACTGAACAGGCAGATACACCCTGCGGCCAAAAGACTGGGAGCACTCCACTGCACACACATTCTAGCTCTCATTAGCATTAGCCATGTCCTCTTGAACTCACCGACCCCATTCACTTTGTGTCTCAATCAACAAGCAGCGGCCTATCAATGCCACCCCTCTTAATGTGCTATAAACTACATGGTGTCCTTGTTAAATTCTCAGAAATACTGGATTTAAGTACCTTCAGGGGTCAGAAATAAGTAAATTAGGAGTAAATGCATTAAGTTGCAAGGCTGGTCTTACTTGATGAGGCGCTTTGTTGCCGTTTTCCTGGTCTGTACTTCTCTGGCACTGCTGGGTGGCTTTGGGGCGAGAACAGGACTAACACAGGTTTGGATGTGGCTGTGGCCATGACTGTGATTGGGCTGAACGTGGAAGCTGGTTGGAGGGCAGCTGGATGAGTTTATGGGAGCCTGGGTGTGTGTAGAACTTGCCTGGTCTGGAAGTTGAGCCTAAGAAACAAGAAAAGACAACTGTTATTTCAGGTCAACATCACTGAGTTAATCAAAGTTTGCAATAATAACTTTAGTTGTAGTTAAACCTTTATGGACAGGCAGTATAAGGCTGTCAATGACATCTCACTAAACGACCATTAGTAATCTTGTTATCACAATACTTTGATCCAAGAACATATGTACTTATATTGTACTGGAACAATGTGATATCCACTGTCCACATTACTGCAACAACAGCAATAGAGCTACAAGCAGGTATTGAAACAGCATTTCAAGTAGGATGACTTACCAAAGAAGTTGTTGCCAGTTTGCACACTGGTACAATGTAAGTCTACCAACTGAGCAATTCTGATCAGACACAAGAGATAAGCTAACTTCCTGCTTATGCAGGGAACATACAGATGACACAGGTTATACAAAAATGACAAATGACTTTGCAATCAGCACATTTGATCATGTTTGGGTACATTTTACTTCCAACTTTGTAGAACTGTTCTGTTTTTGACAAAAATCAAAGGCTGCAGCTGACCAGTGTATATTACTTAAATTCATGTTAGGTCTGGCAGACCAGCGCTTGTTACCAAAAATCTTTTCAATATGTTGATATTAAAAGGTATGCTATTAAATCGAGGAACTGCCATTGATGGTGTTCCACAAGGATCAATCCTAGGACCATTACTCCTTCTAATATATGGAAATAATATGAAATCTGCGGTTGATTGTAAGGTTTTCTGTATGCTGAAAATGGATTTGATACGTACTTTGGAATCTACTTGATTACGAAATTTTGAAATACATGATTAGCTGACAGACTGAAACAACAGTATTCTATTTGCCTCAAAAACCTCTTAAAATCAACTGTAATGGAGTCTTGATTAAAGGTCAGGTGTCAGATAAAATAAAAGATAGTGCTCAGCCATGATTCAATTCAGAATTTATGTGCATATAACTTTAATTACCTCGGCCTCCCAAAGCATTATCAGAGTATGCAATTCCAGTTTGAAAGTGTGTGTGTGTGTGT